GTTGACAAAACTACTTTATATCAGCTGGTCAGCTTTTTCAGTTCGATAAGACAACACACACATAACGCCAGGTATAATGGTGCTATATTTAGCGTGTTAAATATCATGATGTTAATAAGACTACTTTATGTCAGCTGGTCAGCTTTTTAAGTTCTGACAAGACAACACACACATAACGCCAGGTATAAGGCGCTATATTTAGGCGTGTTAAATATCATGATGTTAATAAGACTATTTTATGTCAGCTGCTGTCAACTTTTTTCAGTTCGACAAGACAACACACAACATACTAAATGGAAATTCGTGTTACATTTTAAATATTCCTAGAGGAAAAATAAAGAAAAAGAAAAAAAGGTGAAATAAGTGGACCGATATTTCTTCCATTATCTAGAATCAAACCAAATATTGTGAAAGTTGAATTATGTTAATGTCAAAGCATCTTTATTTTTCTTATACATAGAAGAGTGGTAATGTGCTGGACTTGGAAATAAATTATTTTATTACAAGCATAATTTTATTTCATAAATCAGGCAACATACATATAATAACTAATTATTACAACATCAACTCATGGTAGTTAGGTACACTAGAAGAACACCCACCCGAGCTTGATTACTGTTGCCACCCAAAAGGACATTTTCTACGTCGTATCCTGTTTGCGAGCGTATACCACATTTTCGCGCATAAACTGTATCACTAACATCCATTTGGCTCCGTATACGCGTTCTCTTCTGCACCTGTATTTTACGCAAATAGGACTTGTTACACACCATTTTAAATGGTTCAGGAGGCCAATAACGCTCAGCACCCAGTTGGCTGCAACTGACCACTATATGTGTTTTAGGTACTTGGAAATACTATATTGTCGATCAACATAGTTGGTTACACCTAAACCAACTTGTTGAAAGCACTTGATGGCATGTGAGCAAGGCATGTGGTAGATGGACCATTTTCCCACAAGAGCATACCTTGCAGATTCATTTACAGTATGCACATTATTACCCGATTTTTTGATGGATAGCGGTGCGAACTTCAAAAATATTTTCTTTCATTATCATACTGCAAAAATGAATGCCCAATGTGCTCATCGTCTGTATTTCTCAAATCTCGTCATCGGCACTGGCATAAATTCAACACCCTTTCCATCAATGACGTTGCAGCCGCAGACCTTTCACAGAACCTCTCCGCCATTTGCTTGAACGACATCCGCACCATGGCTGTGACAGGGCAATCCTCTTGCCGACTTCAACAACCCGTTGAAAGACTCTGACACATTTGTAGTCAGAGTTCCCCATCGTCTGCACCATCCGCATGCAAAGTCCACTTTTCAGGGTCATGTCGCATTAACCAACGATAGGCTGCCTCGTCTTCTTGCCTTATTATATTCCATGTGCCTCGGAATTTATGTTGTTGGTGGTCTGTTGCTGCATCCACATCAAATCATGCAGATCCTTATTGGAATATGCCTTCTGGAAATTGGCTTTCGATGCCTAAACACAATAACGATGGAAGGCATAAGGTTCTTGCCATGCAGGCAAGTTCTCCATAGAACTTAGGATACCACCGTGCCGATCAAATATTAGACAGATCTGGAACGCTGTTTCACAACGTGCTCTTTCATATGGTTCAAAAACAACGTCCACGTCTCTTGCCTTTCATTGCACAATAGTAAAAGCTAGAGGAAAATATCTGTCCATTAGCATCTACTGCCACGGCTATTAACAACTTGATATCGTACTTTTTATAGACATGAGTGCCGTCTACGGATATTATGGGGCGACAATGCGAAAAATCATCAATTGCTGGTTTAAACGCCCAGAACACGTAATTGAATATATATTCTGGTTTACCTGCAACTTCGCTCAAGCTTCCACTCAACAACCGTCCGGGTGTTAAAATGCTCTGTAGTGTAGCCATCAGCCATAGTACCTAGGCAGATCTGCAAATGACTTATCCCAGTTGCCATACACTATTTCAAACGCTCGTTGCGCCCGAGAAATGCCTTTCTTTTAGTAATGGTATGGCCATGTTCCTGCTGGACTGATGTAATGCACTCTTTGATTTTATACCTTATGGACTGTTCGATGTGTGGAATAAGAACAAGAGAAATCAAGTCAATATCCAAGTTGAAGTGATTCCCGTTGAATGTGTCCATTTCGCATGTGTGGGTGGGAATGTATTTACCCACTTTCCACATACCTGTCTTCTTCTTGGTCGCACGCAACATCCAATTACATGGCCAAAACCACCTGCGGCAAACAACTTTGTATACCGTCGGACTTGACTCCCATACCTGCATCTCATGACACTCTTTTATGTTGTGCATTTTACAAGCCCTGCTTAGGCGCGCTTTATCAGGAAAAAGCATCCCCTTTGCAAGCACCGTTGGTCTAGACTCATCCCACATTGCTGTCCGGATTTCATCAAAATCCCTTTTGAGAGCTTCCACATCCGGCACGGTTGGCAAGTTATCAATGTAAGGAATCTCTCTTGAATGAAACGGCACTTCGGACTCATACACTCTTCGTCTAGGGGGGTCTCTCTTTAAATCAGATCCTTCCTCCCCATCCTCTGCATCACCATACTCACGAGCAAAGGGTGTCTCATCCCCGGATTCATCCGCATTGTTATCGTAATCACTGTTCTGTTCCTCACTCTGTGCATCTGCCAGGTCCCGATGTAATACATCATTTTCGGGCAATTGAGTGAGTTCAACTTGCTCGTTTTCACTGCACAACCAACAAAAATATAAGCTACTAAATTAATAAATGATTTCCATATTTTGCGTAAATCACTTCACTTACAAGTCGTAATGTGATGAAATTCCATGATGGACGTTATCAATTAGGTGATGACTACCGGATGGGCCACTTGTAAAATTCATATCCGGCCGGTACCCCCTATTAAATATGTGAGCGTTAATACAAATTCAATACAACAAAAATATACATAATTAACACAAATGAAAATTGAAATTTACCACTCGTCTTGTGAGTTATGGAAAGCAGGGTATAAATTATTTTCTCGCTGCTCATTCACCGGCGGTGATAAGTTTAAATCAAAGATAACTCTTTCATCCGGAACTTGTCCGGCAAAAACTGTTCTAGAATAACCACCCGATGACTACAACCTCATTTTTTGGAACGTCTTCGACCTTCACGTACATCTCCAACATTGTGATTACAAGAAAATCCCGACATTTGTCTGGAGTCCTCAAAAAATCACTCAAAGTTTCATCATCGTCGATGTTAAACTCCGAGTAAAAAGCAACCCCTTGCGGAGTGACGGAATAAGGATATCTTCTGGTTACTTTAAGTATCACCGAACGTTTCCTCACACTCATTTTTTTGCATAACAACGATATCAATGTATCGTACTCCATTGTCAGTGGCAATTTAACATGACACTTAGCAGGTAAACTGTAGCCCACGGAGTTATTCTCCATCACAACCTCACCATTCCAATATAATGAAACTCTTATCCTACGCTCTTCAGACATAATAAAAAAATGCTGGAGAATTTAACAACAACAGACGTTTCAACAAGAGTTAAAATTTTTTTTGAATGCATTTCTATGCGATTCTAACCTCTTTATATAGAGAATGGATAGCCGGGAAGACTTTTTTTTACATATATAGCGCCAAATAAGTTGGCACTATACGCTTTTGAATTATTGTACTCTGCTATTATTGCTGGGGCAAAAAAAAAGGGTATAACGCCAGGTTTTCTGGTGCTATATCTGTGTGTCAGTATAACGCCAAAAAACTTGGCGCTATACATTAACGGTGCAGTTATACATAGTATGGTAACTTTTTACACCTATTTGTGTATTTTGAGTCCAAAATAACAACATTTTGGTTCCGGACTCATCAAACTCATGTTCCCCAAAAAAATAAAAATAAAAGGGCAAGTATTAGTAGTTTGAAAGAAAAGTACAAGAAAACATAAAGAAAAGGGAAAAGATCCAAATTTACCCCTATACTTTCGAATATTATTTACATTTTACCTTCGTTATACTATTCGTCCAATTTATTCCTACAGTCATATTATTCGGCCAAATTTATCCCTATTGTCATACTATTCGGCCAAATTTATTCCTACAATCAGTAAACTTTTAAAAATTACCCCTCAATCCGTTAGGTAACCCAAAATCTCCCAAACCCTTTTATTTAAATCAGTTGTTCTTTTTCTTGATCCACTATTTTCAGAAAGTATTATTAATGTGAACCCTAAAGGTACTAAACTATACAAATTGTTCTTGAAATTTTTAATTACCATTGCATCACTTGTCTTCTTTTTGGCGTTTTACTGCCATAAAACTAGAATTTCGCCAGATTCTTAGGTTTTTTTTTTTTGATAATTTTTTGGAAGTGGTTTAAAATTTTTATAATTATTCAACCATATACACAACGCGAAATTTTGTAGATCTATTTGTTATGTATTATATGTGTCTACTCATCATGTATGTAATATATTCGAATATATTTTGTAATTATCTAGTTAGTATAGAGTTCGGTCGACTAACTTAAGAGTTGCATAATACATAAACATTTGATTAATGCAAAGCTGAATTCGACAATATAAAATCTCCAAGGAACTTCAACTTGTATCACTAATACTTGCAAAGTCTTCAAACCTTTGGTGGAACGAATTCATTAAAGTTGGGGTGTTGTAAATACTTTTGAAATTTAAACAAACTATCTAATTTAGATTCTTCAATTACTATACTTTGTTTACTAACCCCTGTATTATTTTAATATTTCTTTCTCTTTTTTTTTTTCAATTACAAAAGAATGTAAATGCCAAGTTGCCAATTATTTTGAAAATAGTGGATTAAGAAGAAAAAAGAGTAACTAAACTAAAATAATTTAAGAGATTATGGGTCACTCGAACGGAGTGATTTTAAAAATTTGTTGATGGTAGTGATTAATTTGGCTCGATAGTATAATAGAGATTAGATACAAAGGGGATAATTTGACCGAATAATATAACCGAGGTTATATGCCATAATATTCAAGGTAAATTTGGACCTTTTCCCTGAAGAAAAACAAGAGACGCCCAACCAAGCAAGTTTTCCGGGCTCCAACTGTACAAGGCAAATATCTGTCTCCGTCAATCTCTCCGGCGGAGAAGAGAAGCTTCTGTAATAATGAACCCCCAAATCTAGCTAGTTTCGACCTACATTCTCCCTCATCTTTTCGTAACCCAAATAATTTTGTACTGAACTCATCAACAACTAGTATTAAAATGGATCGGGCGAGAACAGCAAGTCCGAGGCAGTTAAGGAAATGGAGCAGCGAATCCGGAGCAGCTCCGACTCTGACTTCCGGGTCTTCATCACCTGGACGTCCACATCATCATAGCCGGTCTTCCTCAGTCTCCGGCGGCATGATGTCCAACATTAAGCGCACTCAGAATGTTGCTGCAAAAGCTGCTGCCCAGCGCCTCGCTCAAGTCATGGCCTCACAAGCTGCTTCTGCTGGTAATGACGACGACGATGATGATAATGATGATCTTGGATTCCGATTTGCACCTCCCTCTTTTTCCCGGTCCAACGGCACTAGTGCTACCGGCAACACTAATGCTACCAACAACACTAATGCTGCGGCTATTCAGTCCGCGAAGCTCAATAATAATAGATCATCTTCCCCTCTGGTAATATCAAGACCTCGATCTGCTTATCCAGTCTTGATTTACATTTCCTTGTGTGTGTGTGTGTGTTACTTTGTGAGATTTAGCTTCAGCGTTGCTGTTGTGTTGATGGAGACTGGAGAGTTCTGAAATGTTAACAGCATTTCACTTCTACATAGATAATGAAGTATAATCCAGTATGAATGTGTCCAAATTGAACTGCATTTGTAACTGATTTCAGTTATATAAGTTCTGTTCTTCAACCGTATAGCAAAAAAGCTCTGAAAATCTTTGTGTTGGTTCCCTTCAGAAAGTGGCTCTAGCTCAAGAGACTGGCTAGTCGTTAAATCTCTTTGGATAATTCTGGGTTTGTTTTAAAAATTGTGATGTAAAGTAGGGAGGGGATTCAGTTAAACAAATTTAATATAGATGAGCATATGCAGTGGCATGTTAGTTTGAGTTGTAATTACCTCTGTATGATAATTGTCTCCATTTGCTGCTTCTGTGAGTAGCTAGCTAGGAATTTTGTCGAGGAAGCCCCGTCGTCTCTTCGTTCAACATCAGCAGGAAGAGCAAATGTGCCAACTCGTCCTCCACCATCAATACCAAGTACCCGACAGCCTGTGAAGACTCCTTTACCTATAACCCCAATCGAGCCTCCAACCAACAAGCTGAGAGAGAAAAGGTATAATGAGCTTCTTTTTCTGTTTTTCCTTTTTTTCTTTTCAGTCTAACATTCCCACGAACAAGCAGCTGGAGCAAAGGGTCTAAAACATGTGTTTTTTCTTTTCTTTTGTGTGTTGTATCTTCTGCTTGTTACATATTCTATAGTTTGCCAAGTTCTTGCAATTGTGTCATTAATAAACTTTTTAAGTCTAAAAATATTTGCCTTTTGATTGTATGCCATTGCTATGACAGTTCAAAAGGATGTTGGACTGGCTTAAACCTTCTGTTCATCTGTGTAGTTCTGTTAATGGCAAGACTGAAGCAGTGCAAGTGTCTTAAGGCGCATGAGCTTCCTCCATATATATGCAGAAGATGCTTTAGCAAGATTCAGTTCCTTTTCTCGGCACTCATCATCTAACTTGTAATGCAGATTCTCGCCAGATTTAAGACAATTTAACTTGAAAGATACAGTAGATAACCGTGCAGCTTCTGCGCTTCATGATGAAGTATGTTCTTTTTGCTATCAAATTGATACCTCTCTATTCTTACATGCATAGTATTTAGTCATCAGACACGTAAAGTACCTGCTGTCTCTTTATGCATGTAAACACTTGGATATACCACTTGACTTCAGTGCCTCCTTTGTGCTCTAATCTTTACTTTTTTGGCAGCTTGATATGCTACAAGAAGAAAATGAAAATCTGCTTGGAAAGGTGCATGTTTCAGCAGTTCTTTTCCTCTGCTTTACTTGCATTAAGCCATGCATCTCTGCATGTGTTTATACTGAAGTTGCGAATTTTTTTGTGCAGCTTAGAGGTGCTGAAATGAGTTACGATGAAGCAGAAGCTAGAGTGAAGGAGCTTGAGAAACAGGTTATGCCATTGTTATGCCAAATTGTGTACTAATCCTTTGTCTGAAAAACTTGTAAATTCATTTGTTTTTCCCCTCCAGTGTATAAGAGCCTCAGTGCTTCATTAGTGGAATTTTACTTGTTTACCTGAAAGAGAATGAAAGCAATAAACTTATGTTTTGTCTTTGTATTTTGATAAGTAAGAAGCGAAAACCTTAAACATAATCAGCGTGTCATTCTAGTATGAACACGTCCTTTATCACAAAAAAAGAAGAGAGATGATAATGATTATAAACACCTTATTTGGAAATTTTGTGGATAAATGTTATTGATGCTTATTTTATGACTTATGCACCATGGGCATCTTCAATTTAAACTTCATCTGACAGTTGAAAGGCATTTCTTATGCATCAGGTTGCAGCACTTGGAGAAGGAGCATCTTTAGAAGCAAAGTTGTTAAGCAGGTAAAAGTCTTCCACGTATTCATATTTGCACTGAATTTTGTGTTAATACCATGGTAAGATTTGTTTTTGGTGGATATATATATATCATGATAAGATTTTTTACCATTTGCAGGAAGGAAGCCTCTTTGCGCCAAAGGGAGGTCAGTGGGGATATTGAGTTAATTGCAAATTAATTTGTCAGGCTGATTCTTGTCTCTGGCTTTTTGTTTGCGAGGAAGTTTATTTAAAAAGCATAAAATACTAAAAATCATTCATCATCGAATGAATAGCAGAATACAGAAGAAAAAGTTTATCTTGGCCTGTATGGCTAGACATTACTCCACATATTTAGGAAAATACAGACACAAACACAGGGTCAGAGTAGCACGAGCCATATGATTACTTTTAGTATGGACACATGGTAGAGTATATTCATTTCCTTATTCTCAATAAACTTTTAAGTAGAAGTTTATGTTATTCTTTATAAGTTAATCTGTCTGAGTCTTCCTTGAATACCATGCCCACATGTTACATCAGCATTGTTCTGTCTGTGTAACTGCTTACAATTTCAATCATTGCGGAAGATTAATTGATGCAGGCTGCACTGAAAGACGCAAAACAAGCCAAGAATGGGATAGATGTGGAACTTGCAAACCTCTGTTCTAATGTCCAGGTGAACATCACCACCATGTAATTCTACTGAAGGTCTGGTTTGTTTTATCTAATTTTTTAATACTATGTTTGACGTAGAAAGCAAAAGATGACGCAGCTGCTGCTGTATATCAACTTCAAGTGGCTGAATCTGAGGTTAAAACTCTACGCTCTATGACACAAAGGATGGTTTTAACCCAGAATGAGATGGTATCTAGCTGCACTTTTTGATACTGCTTTCATAATTATAAACTTTCATTACAATACTTTAACTTCCTGGCATATTCATATTGCAGGAAGATGTTGTTCTTAAAAGATGCTGGCTTGCACGTTATTGGGGTTTAGCAGCTCAGTTTGGTAAGTAATGCATCAGAGATTTGTCTTTTTCCTAGTTACACAAGATCTCTACTGTCTGAAGTAGAAAAACAATTTTTCCTGACCTCTACCCTTTCCTTTTTCCTTTGACATTTCCTGTCTATGCTGCTCATACCAACCTTTGATCATTAGTTATAGACTTGAAATGGTTTTATGAAGTCCCCCAAGTCATGTCAATTTAGCTTTCGAAAAAGATGCAAAAAAGTACATAAGAGATAGAGAATCAACAAATGAGACGCAAAAATTACAATAGCGCATTTGAATATTGGTAGATTGTACGGAAGCACTTTTTACTCCAAATGTGACAAATGCAAAGAGGGAATATATAATAAGTGATATCAGTGCCAGTAACCTCACTTAGAAAACTTAATGCAAATTAACTATCATTACATTGTTTTACAACTATACAAAAGGAGATTGACTTTTCGTAATGGATTGCATCAATTGAATACTTCTTTTGCTATTTTGCCGCACATGAATGCTCCATCTGCTGCTAGGTTCTAATTGCATTTGTGTCCACTCAATGCTTTATTTTTTGTAAGCGTTGACCCCGTGTACCCCTCTGTTCTTGTCTTAGTGCTTTGTATATAAGAAGTGTTACCAGTTTTGAGTGTAAAGTTAATGATGCTCTTTGTTCTCTTCCAGGTATTTGTTCAGATATTGCTGCTTCAAAACACGAGTACTGGTCATCCTTCGCACCTCTTCCTTTTGAATTGGTTATCTCTGCTGGACAAAAGGCAAAGGAAGAATTTTTGGAAAAAGGCAAGCATGATTAAACCTAGCTACTTGTCTGTGTAAATGGTAGAATGTTTCAATGGGCATTGATGAGTTCTTAATCAGTGTTCTCTTTTGCAGGTTATGACAATCCAGAGAGGGGTAATCTTGTTCAGGATTTGAATGATCTCACTGGAGAAGGAAATATAGAAAGCATGCTTTCTGTTGAAATGGGCTTGAATGAACTTGTTTCCTTGAAGGTTACTCTAATAACTAGAGTCATTATCTAGTTCTTGCTTCTGTGTTTTTTTGGTTCCTTGAACAAAATACAACATGCATTCGTTGCCCTGTTTCTAAACTTTAGCTTCCAGTACTAATTGATCACCAAGTCAGTGATCAATTTAAACTTTGAAATTTCCACTTATGCAGTTTAAGAAGAATATGATCGATATAGATTGGTATTATGAATTTGTTACATCATAAGTTGAGATTAATAAAAGAATTGGTAATAAGAAAAGACCTTCTGAATATGTACCATATTGATCACAGGTAGTTATTACAGAAAGTGAAAATCATTGCTTTTATACTAGGATGGGTGGAATTATGATAGTTATGGTGTTCAGCCGAGGGATAAAGGCATGGGCCAACATCAGGTGCATATTATCAAGTGCATATTGATAGGGATTGAATCTACTCCATTCAATTCTGTTGCTACTTTTTTCTAGAAGAGGCGGGGGTGTAAATAATCACTTGCAAGTAGAAACATTGTCCACCAGGGTCTAGTATTCTCTTATTCTCCTTTCTAGGTGGAAGAAAGCACTGCATTACCATTTAATGATATCCTTGATCCAGGTTGAGGATGCCATAGTGCTTGCACTGGCTCAGCAACGACGTCCAAACTCCACTCGAACATCAATTTCAGGTTTTTCTCGTTTGTTTCTTAAACATGTAATTAACTATTGATATGTTCTGATGCTTCTGTACAGATATCTGAACTTCCTTAAGCCCTGCTTGCAAATAAATGTATGTGTTGCATGCTCTAATCAGCTGTCATTGTTTGCGCATTTATAAATCTGTCAATGGAGACTCTAAGGTTAAGGATTGTGGTTTGCTGCTTGAAATGCTCTGCCTCATAAATCTAAATATTAAAATTTAGGTCTGTTTATACCCTCTATCCTAATGTAGATATCCGCCTGTACCGTTATGTCTTTGACTTCTATATGGTAGGAATCAAATGGTACAGCATTGTTATGTAATGCAGAAACTTTACATGACAGCTTTGTCTTGCAGTGTTTTTCTTTTTTGTTTGTTAAAAAATAAAATGGTAATTGGTTGCCTGCCTCCACATGTTCTCATGAAAAAGTTGAAGAATAAATTGAGCTCTCATATCAATAACCAGTAATTTTCACGGCAAAATTGGGAATCACAAGCTGGGACTCACCTCATGGCTCACCCTATGGGAGGCAGACTAAATGCTCTCGGAAGGACAAGAATCTCACGGGGTTAATACCCCAATACTTTTAGTGTTGCAAGCTTCTCTTAAAAATTTGGGGGTTGCATCTGACTTTCGCCAGAAGGTGCAAGTAGCACGCACTAAGGATAAATGAGAGAAGGTTGCTTACGATGGTTCGGTCATATCCTACATCGACCTACTGTACATGTCTGTAGGTGTTAAAATATGGTGAATGAAAGTGTTAAAAGGGGACGGGTAGACCAAAAATCACATGGAAGGAAGTTCCCAAAAAACCTGCAAATTCTTAGAATCAATGCAGACTGTGAGAAAGCACGAGAGAAATATATTATTGATATTCTATTCAATTGTAATACAGTGAGCCTTATTTATTATATACATATCCTACTCCTATTCTATGTGGGACTCAAACTAATTTACGTTATTTACATAACTATCTAACACTCCCCTTCAAATCGATGCATACAAATAATATGTACCGAGCTTGTTACATATGTAACTAATACGAGGACTAGTGAGGACTTGGTGAAAATATCTGCAAGCTGATCATTCGACCTCACAAACTTTGTAGTAACATCTCGTAAGAGTATCTTTTCTCTAACGAAGTGACAGTCAATCTCAACGTGTTTAGTTCTCTCATGTAACACCAGATTTGATGCAATATGAAGGGAAACTTGATTATCACACATAAGTTCCATCTTCCCGATCTCACCAAATTTCAACTCCTGAGCAACTGTTTGATCCAAACTAGCTCACATGTTGCCATAGCGATTGTTCGATAGTCTGCTTCACTAGACCGAGCAACCACATTCTGTTTCTTGCTCTTCAAGATACCAAATTACATCCTACTAAAACATAATATCCAGACATAGAATGTCTATCAAAAGGTGATCCTGCCCAATCAACATTGAGTATCCAACGATCTGCTCATGGCCTCGATCCTCAAACAATAATCTTTTGCCCGGAGCTGATTATTTATACCGAGGAATGTGGACAACTACATCCCAGCGACTATCACACGGGGAATCCATAAACCGACTCACAACACTCATAGGAAAGAAAATGTTAGGTCTGGTCATTGTGAGGTAATTTAATTTACCGACTAGCCACCTATATCTTGCAGGATCACTAAGCGGCTCCTTCTGTCTTGGCAGAAGTTTAGAATTCAGATCCATAGGAGTGTCAACAGGTCTACAACCTGTCATTCCTGTCTACTCAAGAATGTCCAAGGCATACTTCTGTTGGTGATATCACAATACCTGAGCTAGATTGAGCGACCTCAATACCCAGAATATACTTTAATCTGCGCAAATCGTTAGTCTGAAAGTGCTGAAAGAGATGGGTTTTCAAACTAGTAATACCATCCTGATCATTGCCGGTAATAACAATATCATCAACATAAACCACCAGATAAATACAGAGATTTGGAGTAGAATGCCGATAACATACAGAGTGATCAGCTTCACTACGAGTCATACCAAACTCCTGAATTACTGTGCTGAACTTACCAGAACAAGCTCGAGGAGACTGTTTCAAATCATAGAGTGACCTGCGCAATCGGCATACAAGACCACTAGGCTCCCCTCGAGCAATAAAACCAGGTGGTTGGTCCATATAAACCTCACCCTCAAGATCACCGTGAAGAAAAACATTCTTAATGTCCAATTGATAGAGAGGTCTATGGCGAACAGTAGCCATGGATAGAAAAAAGCGGACTGATGCTATTTTAGCCACGCGAGAGAAAGTATCACTATAATCGAGCCCAAATATCTGAGTATACCCTTTGGCAACAAGACGAGCCTTAAGTTGATCACTTGGCCATCTGGACCAACTTTGACTACATACACCCAACGACAACCAACAGTAGATTTAACTGAAGAAAGAGGAATAAGCTCCTAAGTACCACTCGTATGGAAAGCAGACATCTCATCAATCATAGTCTTTCGCCACCCTGAATGTGACCGTGCTTCACCTGTAGACTTAGGGATGGAAACAGAGGACAAAGATGATACAAACGCATAATGGGGTGATGACAGACGATGATAACTTAAACCGACATAGTGAGGATTAGGATTAAGTGTGGACCGTATACCTTTTCGCAGTGCAATTAGTTGACTAAGAGGAGGCAGGTCTGCAGTAGGAGCAGGGTCAGGTGCAGGACGTGAATCAGCTGGGTCAAATGCTAGGCGCTAGCGACGATGATAAGTCAGAAGTGGTGGAGCTGAAACTGGAGATGTAGGTGGTGGAGCTGGAATTATGGAGTAAGATGAATGGGAAATAGTGCCTGAATCTCCAAAAGATGGAACTGGTAGCACCTCAGAAATATTTAAGTGATCAACTGGACCTGTGAAGTATGACTGGGTTTCAAAGAAGGTAACATCAGCGGACATAACCGCTGGAGGTCAGGTGAATAACATCGATATCCCTTTTGCGTTCTCGAGTAACCCAAAAATACGCACTTAAGAGCACAAGGAGCTAACTTATCTGTTCCTAGAGTGAGGTTATGAACAAAGCACGTGCTCCCAAAGATACGGGGTGGAAGAGAGAGCAAAGGTGTGCGGGGAAACAAGACAGAAAATGGAACTTGATTCTGGATAGCTGAGGACGACATACGATTAATAAGATGACAAGATATGAGAACTGCATCCTCCCAAAAATGCAACGGAAGATGAGACTGTATGAGTAGGGTACGAGAAGTTTCAATGAGATGTCTATTCTTTCTTTCAGCTACCCCATTTTGTTGAGATGTGTACGAACAACATGTTTGATGAATGATTCCATGAGAGTTCATAAACTACTGAAATGGGGAAGACAAATACTCTAGGGCATTATCACTACGAAATGTGCAGATAGAAACCCCAAATTGGTTTTGAATTTCAGTGTAGAAGGTTTGGAAAATAGAAAACAACTCAGATCGATTTCTCATGAAAAATATCCAAGTGCATTGGGAATAATCATCAATGAAACTGACAAAGTAGTGGAATCCCAAGGTAGAACTCACCCGATTAGGACCCCAAACATCTGAATGGACTTAAGTGAAAGGTGACTGCTCGAGTATCAGGACACCGAGGGAAATGGGAGCGAGTATGCTTCCCGAGCTGGCATGACTCACACTCTAGAGTGGACAAGTGAGATAATCCAGATACCATTTTTTGAAGTGTTGACAAACTGAGATGTCCCCACCAGTATCATGACAAGTTGTTGAAGAAAGACAAGATGTGAGTTCATGTGATAAAAGCAAGGATAAGGTGATAAAGTCCATTTGATTCATGCCCAGTACCAATGATCCGCCCCATACTGCGTCCTGTATAAAAACAAGGTCATCAAAAAATAAAATAGAGCATTTAAGTGATTTGACTAAGCGACTAACAACTATGAGATTAAAAGGACTGCCGAGAACATAAAGAACTGAATCTAAAGGTAAGGAAGGAAATGGACTTGCTTAACCTATTCCATTTGCCATGGTTTGTGACCCGTTGGCGATTGTGACTGTTGAAAGAGATTGAGATTGAAAATATAGTAGTGAAAGAGATTTGTTACCGGAAATATAATCAGAGGCACCTGAATCAATGACCCAAGACTTGGAGGTTGAAGATTGGGGGACACAAGTCACGCTACTACCTATTTGAACAACGGAAGCTATCACTGAAGATGTCTGTTTACATGCTTTTTACCGAAGGAACTCAATATAATCCGGTAAAGAAACCATCTGCATTGGATCCAATGGATTGTGAGTCAAAGGCTTCTGATACGAATGACATTATAATGTTCACTCCGGAAAATCAGAAAGTTTTCTAGAAGTTATTGTTCACGCCGAAAAATATAAAAGTGGTTAAAATTTGGTTGAATTGGATGGGTAGGCTCGGAATTGCAAGGGGAACAAGCTGTCCTGAAGAGTTGTCGCCAAAAAATGGCCGGAAGGTGCCCAGGCGCTGGCGTGTGACGTCGGAACTTTGCCGGGAAATTTTCTTCCGGCAGCGCGTGAGGGCGCGTGGAGGGTCTTCTGACGGAGATTTTTTATGGGTTGGTCACCGAAGGCCGATCTACTTTGTGGTGGTGTTGGTTTTTGCACAATACTGACAAATAGTGATTTTTGACAGACCTGTGTTTGCCGGAAAAAGACTTCCGGTTGACTGATTTCTCTTCTCGGAGTCGCTGAAATTTATGCACAGCGATAAATCTCTCACGATTGCTCTGATACCATTTGAGAAAGCACGGGAGCAAAATATTATTGATATTCTATTCAATTATAATACAATGAGCTTTATTTATATAATACATATCCTACTTCTATTTTATGTGGTACTCGGACTAATTTACGCTGTTTACATAGCTATTTAACACAGACTTAGCTAAAAATAGGGCACAATGAAAGAAAAGATGCATATAGGTGATATCAGCTAGTTGGGAATAGGTTTTAGTCTTGTTAGAGAACTTCTTAACTTATCTTTCACTTTTATTTTTATTTTGTATGATCATGACATGAGTTGAGCTAAAACGGAGAAGTAAGGATTCACATAGTGGATCCTAACTTGTTTGGAACTGATGCGTAGTAGTTGTTGCATCTTTGACTTTCATGTTTTGGTTTCTTTGCAATGTACACCACAGAACATATGTAGCATCTTAAGTATTTGCCCTTCTTTCCTAAAATGATTATTTGTTGACTTAACGTTTGTGATGTACACATTTTATTGCACCTAGATATTTAGATTAACGTGTACATTTTATTTTTTTATTTATATATGATTTAATGTACTTTTTTAAAGTTATTATTTCATATCTATATGTATTTCTTATTTTTTTATTATTATTTAAATACTCACCGCAGATTGTGCCTTGAAGTTAGTGCACCACTTGGTCTCCTGTCCTTTTGACGCACTGTTAATGACCATGTAAAATGTACTGTTGAGCTCTCCCGCAACTATGCACTTTTCATAGATTGACTGACAAATGTTTTCTCTGCTGGTCAGTTAGAGAAGACCACTGACTTAAAAGTCAACTGGAGTAGTAAGCATGTTATAGTTTAATCGCCTGATTTAAATGATATTTTAGCACATCTAGGTTTACCTTCTCAATAATAAGATCTTCTATGTTGTGGCATATGCAAACCTGTCAGCTGATTTTAAATGCAGATGCTCGTTTATATATTTTCTTTTGTTAATTCCTTCCATCTGTTCTACAATTCTAAAAGTCATCTTCTCTTTTAACTACAGAAGTATGATCCTTCTAGATTGATTGTGTTTTGTTATTTGAATTAATTATTGCAGACATCAAATCACCAATTGATCCGAAGTATATGGAGGCATTTGGTAAGTCCATCTGATTTGTCATTCTAGTGAGGACACAATTTTTGCATTTAGGTCTTTAGATTCCTTTATCAAAGTATTGCCCCTCTCACAGAATCCTACTTAACTAGCTGGAATAAACAAGCAACCCATTCTGTTAAAATTTATAATTTTCTTTCCTTTGGATTTTTAATTTTTATTTTTAATTTTTTATGTTTTATACTTTGATTTTAGCTTAAACATGGAAAACAGCGAGGTGCTCATCCAAACTTATCTATTTATTTACATACTTATCATCGGCTTAGACATGGCAAAAGAACGGTGTGCCTATCTTGAGCTTGTTTTGGCAAATCCCTGGTCTTGTCTGATTTGAATAAGTTTTCCAATGCCTTGATCTTGTAACCGCTTTTTGGAATCCTTTTTAGAGAGAATATTATGTAAAATTTTCATTATTTTTCAGAACTCAGCCCTGAGGAGTCTGAAGATGTCCTTTTCAAGGAGGTATATAATACATCTTGTAGTTACATTTACCTTGCTGATTCCGAGTTATACCACAAATCCAGCGAGCTAGGATCCTTAATCATCTTGTCATTGAGTACTTCCTTTTTTTTTTTATCACAAGTCTGCTTACTTCTCTCCAAAACTAAGTGCGATAAATGTGAAAACAGTTCTATTCTACGTCTTAATATAAATTACCAATTTGCAAAATAACATTTTTCTTCACTTAAACAGGAATCTGTATCTTATCACACTATAATAGGAGAGTTCTGAAAATTCAGCATACTTTGTTCTTATCCGGACAACATTGAGATTGAGATGAATTACATCTTTCAGTTCACACTGCTCTGCTCCTTTTCTCTACGCTAAGCTTGCTTCAAAATTTCACTTGCTTAGGCATGGCTAACTTACTTTTGGAGGAGAGCCAAAGCCCATGGTATACAGGAGGATAAAGCCAATAAAAGACTTCAATTTTGGAGTAGTCGCAGCGGGCACGCACCAACTTCTCATGATGCTGTTGATGGTACATTCCACACCTATAAAGCCTGTTATCTAGGTTTTTTTTTGATAAACCATGTCTAGAAGTACTTAATTCGTTAGACCACCATGTGATCTCTATTATATTGCACACAATATTTATTTAAATGTGTTGTGAAAACTTAAGTTGGTAAAATAAACAAGGTACTACTCCATTAGTTTCAAATTATGTCATGCTTCGAATTTTTAATGTCACAGTAGATTAATCTCTAAGTTATTTTTCTATATTTGTTGCAAATATGCATGGACGACAAGATTGAGAGAAATGTTAACATAGAAGCGGATACAAGCTTAGGGTGCAGGAGCTAAAATTACTTAGTTACGCTTTGCTGAGACTTTTGAAAAGTTTAAGACTCCTACAATATTACTTTTTCTTGAAATAAAAAGTTCCACGATGAATTAGCCAAAAAGGTAAAGTAAATAGTATAATAAATTACTAAAAGAGGCAGAATAAATCTTGCTTAGTAGATGAAGTTGTTATGCAAGCTTTCTAATATATGTTGAATAAACAGAATAATTTGATGTACTTATATGTAAATAAATATGGTTATTTCTTTCAAAAGATGTATATCCCTCCCGCAATAAGTCAAAAGACAACAATAAGATTTACAGAAAAGGGTCATATTTGCTCCTCTCCCATCGAAAATAAGCTACATCTACCTCTGTTTCAGTTTCTTAGTATAACTACCCTACCGTTGCACTTTTGGACCATATTTTCCCCTCACCTGTTACATCCTTCATCCCAACTTATAAAATACACGTGGCAAGCCTAGTGGGGTCTGGGGTTAGAGTGTATGCAGACCTTATCCCTACCTTGTGAAGGTAGAGAGGTATGTCAGAAAACATGCTAGTATATTAAACAAAAAATATCCTAAGAATGCCCTTTCAGAAACACTAAACAATAATCAGTCTCTTTATGTGTTTCATGTAAATAGAAATCAATTAACAATTCGGTAATAAGCTCGGCAAACACCATATAATATCAAATATTCATCTTTGGGAGGTTTCCGGGAACGGATCATGTAATCGTTATAACTATTGGCCTCTTCGCAAGAAGTCAAATATAACGGTAGTCCCTACTCGAGGGAAATCGGTAACTGTATGTTGGTTCTACCTTTCCTCTAGCGAGGGTTATACCAGTAATTGGTTATCCGTAATTTACAAGGTGCACCCAGTCTAAGGAACATGTCGTTAGCTACGGGATCCTTCAAAGTCTCCTCCACTTACGTTTGTCTTTGTAATCAGTCGATACTCGTATGAAATTTTTTTTTAAAAAAAAAGTACAGGACATTTCAATTCTTATTTAAATCATGTAATTTCAATCGGTAACAATAATCATATCTCAAGTAACGGTAAAATATGTCTAGTAGACTGAGAACATTTAAAATAACGCTAATCATCTTAAATAAACATTTCTCTAATATATCAAGTAAAGGACTTGTCGCACGTGCAAATTCAAACTAGGCGGTAACATATTCATATATGCAATTATGTGTAAATCATGCAAGTTATGGAAACACAAACTGCGGTAAGGTTACTACTCAACGTACTCATGTCGAAATATTGAACTTGTCGCTGCGAGTACTTCGTTTGACTTCAACTACCTATATCGTTACAAAACCAATTTATGTATTAACTCCACGAGTACCCGTATAATCGGTTAAGTTCTGTTAAACTTAATTCATTCCCCTGTTTTCATTCCTCGGCATATGACTTATCTTCTGCTAACCAACTAATTTACTAAAAAAGAATCTGATTTGTTTGACATACTAATTAACTGTACTCTTGTCCACACGTAGTGCTTAATAAGCACTTATACTCTCTACAGTAGAGCGCTTGCTTTAAACTTATAGAAATCTTTATTATTTAGTAGAAAGTTCATGTACCAAAATACCTTAAGTTCCAGTTTTTTCCCTTTAGTTAACGGAACAATAGCTAATAATAAATTAGGTATTGAGTAAACTCAATTTACCTTGTTCTTCTCCACAAAAAGAAACCTAAGATGGACAGAAAATCCCTTAGAATCAAGAATCACGGTTACTGGAGCTTCAACTTGAACTAATTGACTCTAAAGTTTCCTCCTCTTTATTTCATTAAGGCTTGGTGATAGCTCCTGTTTTTATGTGCAGGAGCTGTAATGCTCCGCCTCCCCTCCCAGATCTTGCTTCTTTGAGATTTTGCAAAGAATCTCCTATTTTCACCCTTTTTCAAACATAATTTGATGCATTTCTGCCTAAGCCTTGGGCTACGGCACCTCTCTGATCTTTTTCTCTTTTTATTTTGTTTAGTTAATTACTTACTTACCCCTTTTTAATGATATGGGATATTATAGGTGGGTTTTAAATTAAAGTAAGGCAGGTCTCTTCAAGTCATTGTAGGCTTGCCAACGTGTATCTCCAAAATGTGCTGCACTCGTATTGGATCCTTAAAAAATGCACAACTTTTGGAGGATCCGACACATACCCAACGATATTTCGGAGAGTCAGAGAAACATATGAGGTAGTTATACTAAGAAACTGAAGCGGGTAGATGTAGCTTATTTTCGAGTAGTGGGGCAAATATTGCCTTTTTTTCCGTAAGATTTAAGTATTAAGTGGTACGTATATGCCTCCCACAAATAAGGTTGTCTGTGCATGTAGATGATACACTCAAAATATAAATTGCAAAATAAGTAGTATATACATTGTTTTGGAGTTTGAAATATTTTAGTTTGAATTGTCTTAGAAGTTATGATCCCTTCCTTGTAATTCTAAACTCTTATACATATAAAGACTGATTCATTTTCTAATAGTTCACACTTTATATTTTAGTTGAGCAAGGCCTGATGGAGCTAAGGAAATTGGGCATTGAACAAAAACTATGGGAATCATCTCGGAGATAAATTGGGCATTGGTTGAGATTCTCCTGTTACTGGAGAGAAAACTTCCCTGCAGTCTAATATTACTGCCCGCTCTCTATTTTACCCACTGCATACAAGAGTCTCTTACTCTCCTTTTCCACTTACAACAGTATTCTTCTCAAGAGTCATGTAATACAAAGTCCCAATCTTTTCTTTTTAGACCCAACAGGAAGGGAAGGGGTCTAGTTAAGGTTACACAGGTTTTTGTTTAGTACAAACATGAGTATCTTGAGGATGACCGTACATAAATTCTGAAGTGAACTGTATTTAGAAAGGAGGATTTGGCTATGCTTGTTGTTCTGAGATTGATTTGCTTAGTTCCAAGTCTCGGGATTTAGATACTGTCACTACTATAGTGACTTCATATTATAATTAATATCCACTATTTTTGTTTATGATAGTTACCTTTTAACAGTAAATACTGTTTCCACTCAGATGTTATTGTTTAATTTATGCAAAACCATAACTTGTGTATTATGAGGGTTGATCAGACAGACTAAAGATTGCATGTAATTACCCAGCAGGTTAAATTTGGAGGGACGCTTGATGACATAATTCTTTTGGAGATCACTATGTTTTAGTTCTGGGAATAAAGCCCTCTTATAATGCTTTCATTGGTGTGTTAGTAAAGTAGCATAGCAAGCTTCACAAGGCTGTTACTATAACTGGTGCGAGACAGGAAAGAATAACTGCAATATAGGAATGAGATAGTATGAGACAGGCTCAAACGTGTAGCAAAAGAAGAATTTTGAAAAGCAAGAAAGGGATGTCATTTTGCTCGTGGTGGGAATTGAAAGAGGGAAGATGGCCATTGTTAGATCTTGTGTAGAACACAGGGTAGCTAAAATTATTGAGTTGAAACAGGTCTCCACGAACGTACAATTATAGATATGGGGTATCTATAACCTTGGCATGCGCTTTAGTTTTTGTCTTTCATGTAATGAGTCTTCTCTTACACATCACTTATGTTGGTGTGTAGTCCTTTATAGCCAAGACAAGAATGAGGGCACGCCAGGAATAAAAAGGGTCATCTCTTTGGTGATAATGATGAGTTTTCTTGAAAGGTAACAAGAGAGATATACGCAAGGGACCAACCTTTATTATTATTATTCTCTGGGTATACTTAATGTTACGAATTGCATCCGTAACCTTTGGGCCAGAGGGGTTAAGTCTTTTATTGGGCCAAACATTAGCTAGTATTAGTCTTTTAGGTGTAGTCACTTTCATGAATAGCACTTTAGGTTAGCTGAGTAAATCTGGGGGGCTATATAGTCCATAGGACACGTGTAATCCCCTATATGGAGTTAGGAATTATTGCTCAATGTACTGAAGAATTTATCTGAAATCAAAATTTCTTCTTTTTCCATTTAATTTTATCTTTTTCTTTCTTTACGTTTCGTGTCATCGTAGCAGCTGCTACAATCTGGTATCAGAGCATTTCTCTGGGCATCAATGGTGGATCCACCGCGTACCAGTGACGGTGGAGGTCAGGGAGATGGCTCCTCCAACCTTGAGCTCCAGATGCAAACATTCATGGAAAACTCGGTCAAACGTATGGAACAGATGGAGGGTTGGATGTTGGATTTGCAGCGGAAGGAAGATACACGCTTAGCCATGGCTCAAGGGAGCGGCTATTCCGAAACTGGTCAATCATTAGTGCGTGGTGGTAATCGACCGACGTCGTCACCCACAACCCTTGTTTCCTCCTTATCGGCGACAATAACTCCTAAACCTTTCAACACCAGTCAAGGGGGACCCTTAGCTGTCTCTCACCTCAATGCACCCCATTATGGATAGGGGTGTGCATTCGAATCGGTTTATCGATAAATCGAATCGATTATTTGTTATCGAAATCGAAATCGAAAAAATCGAAACCTTATTGAAACAATAACGATAAGCATATGTACAAATCGATAATCGATAAGTAATTATCGATAAGGGTCAAAATCGAATCGATAAATCGAATGCACACCCCTAGACTGTAAACACTTGTTAAATGAGTAATTACCTATTTGTGTAGATTAATATAACATACAGAATGTATATATATTCCGCTACTATTTTGAAAGCGGCCATACAATATTATTTTCCCTAATCTTTACCCTTTCCTTTACCCTAAGTCCCTTACCCTATTATTTCCTCTACCACATTTAAGGAATGATCATATTTAAAGATCAAGGGAATGAAGTTCAAATTAATGGAAAACAGAATTAGCCGTGATGATGTGTTTTGTTTTATTTTATTTTTTTTTATACCGTTTGGTAGTTGTTGGTTGGTCATTACATTTT